ATTATTGGTACCTAATTCAGTGTATTTTTTTTTTCTTGGAAGTTATTTTGTTGAATGTTTAAGAAACAGTCATATCTTTGTTGACGGATGAATAATGGAAGTTGCCCACCAGAAATGTACTTTTTCTGTTTCTTCTTCCATAGAAGAAAATAATGTAAATAAAATTGTTCAACCAACCTAAAAATAAGGGGAAATTTCCTGACAGTTAGAACAATTGATCAGTGTCTCCAGAGATTGTGGGTGCTCCATCACTGGAGGTTTTCAAGAAAAGATTAGGCCATTTGCCTGAAATGGTGTAGGATCTCCTGCTTGAGCAGAGGATTGGACTAGAAGATCTTAAACTCCCTTTCAACATTGTTATTATGTTCATTTGTATTGTATCTACTACTGTGCCTAGTGATTGGATGATAAAAACTCTGGTTTCTCTTGTTCACTCCTATACTCTGTTTTTTAAATTCATTTTATCATTTTGTAGTTTATCCCATATATACAAAGCAATTTGGACAATTAGCAGATCTCAGTGTATATATACTAGAATTTAGGTATCCTACCTTTTCAGGATTTGGTAGTATATCTAATTCATCCAGTGAGTGATAAACACTGGTTGGAGATTGATCTAGTTTTGACTGAGCTATGTTGTGTGAAGTATTTAGATATAGTTTTGTAGAACTGGCACACAATCTCTACATTCCCTCCTCAAGTTTTTCTGCACTTTCTCATATGTTATAATGGGGAGTTCCTTGGAGGGATGAACAAAGAACACTGGATTCTACACCAGGGATATGTTTTCCCAACAGGGTCACCCAAGAGATGAAGATCATCCCAGTTGTCTAGCTAAAGCAAACAAACACCTTTGTTGGGCAACAACCATATAAGAACATGTCAGTGAAGGATGATCACTATAATAACAATGGCCAAGATAATCTTTTCATACTGCATAGAAGAATGGTAAACCACTCCTATATTTGACCAAGAAAACCACAAGGACAGATAGGATAAAGTGATTGATGATAAAATGCTGGGTGATATGGCATCAATAAATAGCTAAGGCTTATTTGGAGTATTAAGTGTTTATAATGTGGCATGTTAAAGACTTTGGGATAACTAGTTGCTGATGTTATTGGACAGGAAGAGAAAATCTGAGTTTGCAATAACTGAATTATAGTAGGAACATGGAATATAAGAACATGGAAAAGCTCAACACAGTGAAAGATAAAAATGAAACAACTACATATTAACATATTGGACAAGAGTGAATTGAAATGGTCTGGCAATGGACATTTTTGGTCAGAACATTATATTGTTGGCTATTCGGGGACACGAAAAACAAAGGTGTGGTATTTCTTTTGTAAGAAGGATATAACAAATACAACATTTGGGTAAAGTGCAATCAATGATCGGATAATTTCAAATACACTTCATTATGCTCCAACCACTGTTGTAGAAGAAAATAAATTTGACAAGTTTTATATGATCAAGTTTAATTTGAAATATACAGAATATGGAAGACAAAAAGCATATTTGGACTGTTTGGCCTAGGAAACCAAAATGAGGCAGAAAAATAACTTATCAATTTCTGCCAATCCAATTATCATTTCATTGCTAACATATTCTTCCAACAACCAAAACAGCGTCTGTATACATAAATATTGCCAGATGGAGTAGATGGAAATCAAATTTACTATATCATTAAATAAGGAGGTAGACGAGCTGAACTGGAACAGTAAAGACAAGGCCAGGGTCTGACTCTGCAATAAACTGCTCATGTGCAAGTGTCAAGTAAAGCTAAAGGCAAAGAAGAAAAAAACCTGGCTTGTTTCCACAATATGATCTTGACCACATATACACCATTTTCTAGCAGAACATCGGGAACTGTTTTGAAACCACTTGTTGAGATGAGCAGCTATAGAAATCAAATTATCTACATATTTTTCCTTCATTTCCTTGTAGCATGATGAATGTTGGCTCACTTTATATATCAAATGGATGAAATATTTGTGGCTTATGAGTGTCTCATATAAAATGCTGATTGTCAAATTTGGCACCATATCCAAATAGAGGGAACAATAGGGTGTGGGGTTATTTTGTGCAACCATTAAAATCACATGTTGAAATCAGATTACAGAGGGGAAGCTTAGTTTATCTCTGTGCAGTCTCTATATACATTTGTTCTCTATGTTACCCAGGTTATTAATAAGTTGTGATATAGTATATCTTAATATAAGAGCCTTGGGTGGCGCAACTGACTAAGTGCTGTTAAAGTAGCATCAGCTGCCTGCAATTACTGCAAGTTCAAATCTCACCAGGCTCAAGGTTGACTCCGCCTTCCATCCTTTTGAGGTAGGTTAAATGAGGACCCGGATTGTGGGGCAATAAGCTGACTTTGTATAAAAAAGAATACCGCTTGGGGGGGCCCGACAGTCCTACTAAGCAGGTATATACAAAAGTATGAAGGCTATTGCTTAACGCATTGTAAGCCGCCCTGAGTCTCTGGAGAAGGGCAGCATATAAATCGAACCAATAAATAAAATCTTTGCTCTGCCTGGAAGGCCACAGATATACATATGGATAATTACTTGGAACTTCAGCTCGGATCCTCAACCAGTTTGTCCTTTAGGACAAGCCCCTTCCCAACAGTGTGCTTATAAGCTATGAATTTATAGGAGGGGTGCTTGTGCTTCTGGATTGTCCATGAGGTCCTCCAGTGTACACTAGAGGGCCTCATGGCAGTGAGACAGAACACAATTCATGTTGCTAGTTTCTGGGCAAAATCTATTTAACCTTAAAATTAATATTTTAATTTTGCATTTTATATTTTATGTCGTGTAGTATGCCTTATTTTAATTGTGATGCTTCTGACACAAATAAACAAACAATATAGGAGGGTGAAGTCAGTGGTGAAATCTAATTTTTTTTACTACCGATTCTGTGGGCGTGGCTTGGTGGGCATGGTGTGGCTTGGTGGACATGGCAAGGGAAGGATACTGCAAAATCCCCATTCCTTCCTCACTCCAGGGGAAGGATACTTCAAAATCCACATTTCCTCCCCACTCTGGGGCCAGCCAGAGGTGGTATTTTCCAATTCTCCTAACTACTCAAAATTTCCACTACCGGTTCTCCGAACTGCTCAAAATTTCCACTACCAGTTCTCTAGAACCTGTCAGAACCTGCTGGATTTCACCCCTGGGTGAAGTGAAGAAGAAGAAGAAGAGCAATATGCTACCTGATACTATCGCCCGACTATATCGCAGTCCATACAGATAGTTCATGACTTAACAACAGTTTGTTTAATAACCATTCACAGTTACTGAAAAAGTAATATATGACCATTTTTCACACTTATAATCATTGCAGCAATTCCATGGTCACATGATCAATATTCAAATACTTGGCAACTGGTTCATATTTATGACAGTTGCAATGCCCTGGAGTCATGTGATCACCTTTTATGACCTTCTAACAAGCAAAGTCAATGGGGAAGCCAGATTCACTTAACAATTGTGTTGCTAACTTAACAACTGCAGTGATTTACTTAACAACTGTGGCAAGAAAGGTGGTAAAATGAGACAAAATTCATTTAACAAAAGTCTCACTTAGCAATATAAGTTTTGGGCTCAATTATGGTCGTAAGTTGAAGACTACCTATATTTCATGAGTGATTGTAAGGCAGAACCTCTGAGAGGGAATACAAATGGAGCAGCAGGCAGGAGTATATTCTTCATTTGTTGTTCAGACCGATGCATACTTAAAAAACTGGGATATATATGTCATATAAGCAGTAAATGAAACTGAAAAATGTTTGAATGCAAAGCTTTTATTAGTTACTGGACTGGTTCTCGTTTCTACATGTGGTAGTATTCAGATAGTTCAGTAAAAAGCCAATGTAAATTCTCTCGACCATGAAACAGAACAGAAGCTGAACTCAAAGTATGAAGGAGAAACATATTTTACAAATCATATCTCTGAAATGTGGTTAATCCTTTTCAAACACAATAACTGAAAACAAGAGCCTGACAACAGCAACATTAAGTAAAACATCAAAATATTGTATTAATTGGTTTTGCCTCAGCAGATATGCTTTAATTGTACACAGTCATGTTCCTGAAGTGAGCCAAAGATAATTTAGACTAAATTGCCTGTTACAATGCTGTACCATCCGCATGTAGCCTCCAGGAAAATCTATATATATCACCCAGTGTTGCTAGAAAAAGAACATTATTTAAATATTTTATTTATTTATTATTTATTTATTTATTATTTCTATTTCTATACCGCCCTTCTCCCGAAGGACTCAGGGCGGTGTACAGCCTATTTAAAAACACAAAAACAAAAACAACAGTTAAAATTTAAAATCATTAAATAATTAGGCTCCAATTAAAATCCCAGAAATTTAAAAATACCCCAATTTAAAACATTATGTTAATAGCCCGGCCTGGCGGAACAACAGGGTCTTCAGAGCGCAGCGAAACACCCGGAGGTCGGAGATCTTACGTATTTCCGGGGGCAGTTCATTCCACAGGGCTGGGGTTCCCACAGAGAAGGCCCTCCCCCTGGGTGTCGCCAGCCGACATAACTTGGCCGATGGCACCCTGAGGAGACCCTCTCTGTGGGAGCGGACTGGTCGGTGGGAGGCTATTGGTGGCAGAAGTCGGTCTCGAAGGTACCCGGGTCCTATGCCATGGAGCGCTTTAAAGGTGGTAACCAACACCTTGAATCGCACCCGGAAGACCACTGGGAGCCAGTGCAGCTCGCGCAGGAGGGGTGTCACGTGGGCGCAACGAGTTGCACCCATAACCACCCGCGCGGCCGCATTCTGGACGCATTGCTGCATCATAACTCCAAATAAATTAAGCAAAATTTCACCAACTGTAACTTTTTGCTGCCCAATTTAGTACCTGTTGGGTCCTTGAGGATTCATAGGAGGAGGAAAGTATTGCAATGAAATTTGATCTGTTATACTGTTGACAAACCTGTTTGTATTTTTTTCTTTTACTTTCTAGCAATCCCCGGTTTTTGATGATTGCTCTCGCCTATGCAATACCACTGGGGGTTTTCTCAGGATGGTCTGGTGTTCTTGATTTGATATTAACTCCAGCTCACATAAGCCAAGTAGGTGCACATGTGTGTGTCTGTGTGTGTATATTTCTTTATGGTTTGCTGACAAAAGTTTGGTTTTGTGATTTAAAATTAAAATAACAAGCAGAATGACTGATATTCTATGAGATTAAAAGTGGCATTGTAGAACCTGAACTTAATTGAGCTGCTTCATATCTGAAAATTCAACTTTGGGGAAAGCCTGAACCTTAATTTGTTGGCCTTGAGGAGAGAGGTAGTAATTTCAAATTTTATTGCTAGTTCACAAATGTAAATTTGAAAAACCAAAAGTTTTCCCATTAGCATGAAGGGAAAGAAAAAATAATAATTAGAGTAGCTTTATAGTTTGTTTCGTTAGAGGAATACCACATAAAGTTTACCCAAGACTTTTTCATAAGCTACCTTCACATACAACTAAACCAGGCCTATTTATTTCAAGTTCCTCGAGACATGTGGATAGAAAAAGATTATATACTTCTCCAAAGTCTCTACTGAATGTTCTCCTATCTCCTTTCAATTACTAGAACCTCATTGCTTTTCAAACTTTACCTAAGACCTAGTCCAGGTGTCTGCAACCTTAAATACTCAAAGAGCCATTTGGCCCTTTTTCCCAGAGAAAAGAAAACACCAGGAACCACAAAACCTGGATGGGCATGGCCAACTCAATGTCACTCACTTCCATCAGTCATATGACCCCCCCCAGCCACGCCTACCCAGCAGAGAACCAGTTGTTAAAAAACACTGGGAACCACAAAATCCTTTTGACATATCTCTCTCTCCCTTCCCTCCCTCCCTCCCCCCCTTTTTTATCTCTCTATGTCTCCCTCTCTCCCCCTCTCTCTATCTCTGTCTCTGCCCTGGCCACTTCTCCATCCCCGCCATCGCCCTTACCTTCTCAGGCCAGGCGAGGAGTAACTGAGAGGGGAGGGTGAGGGGCAGGGCCAACCAGTGGTGGGATCACCTGACAGGGAGCCACAGCAGAGGGCCCAAAAAGGCGCATGCGGCTCCAGAGCTGCAGGTTGCTGACCCCTGACCTAGTCTAACTCTGTCATGGTTGATCATCTTCTTTTCATTCTCAATTTTTGTTTCGGACCTTAGGAGTCACTTGATCAGACCAGTGACAATGTTCCAAAAGCTCCCAGAAGTCTTCTGTGACAGTGTCACATCCTTGAAATGTAAGTTCTGCCCCTTTGTATGTGCATGCAATGTCACAATGCACATATGAAATGGACAGATTCCTCCTTTCCCTTGTGGATGCTTCTGGTCCGACTGAAATCAACCTATAAAAAATACATCTCATACACCGAGTGTGCTGATTTGTATTTGCTTTCTCAAGAGGATTTTGAGAAAACAGTCCTGAGGGTCTCGAGAAGGAATGTCTGCTTCCTTAGATGGTTTAAAAAGAGATTAGGCAAATTAAATGATAATGTCAATCAATAGCCAAATAGAAATTTACTTTCAGAGCTATACTCCAAAATAGTTATATATATATAGTAAATATCAACCAATTACCTTCTGTGTTGCTAGAAACAACATTGCATTTCTTTATTTTCTTTTTTTTCCAGGTGGATGCAGGTTGGATTGGATTTTGGTCCATTGTAGGTGGCTGTGTTGTTGGCATAGCACTAGCAAGGTAAGCTTTTTTTCTCTCTCTTATTTTTCTTTAGCGAAATTGTGTTTTAGTTATACTAAAATAATGCCTCCTGAAATCATTTCCTCTCTTCCATGACAATTGTAAAAAGAACAAATCATTTTCTATAGATTAGAAAAATGTTCATCTTCTATCTAGAGTAGTAATTTGCCTGGTTTATTTTATTTTTTTAAAGTCCATGAATGCTGAAAATCCCATTCGTTCAGTCATCAAACTACGCAGGGTGTATTATTGTATTTGACAACTAATCTCTATCACTCCATCCAAAGGTGAAAAAAAACCTTAGATGAAGTAAGGAAGGAACTGTGGGTATTTTGCTCATGTTTGCTTTCATCTTCAGTTGTGATTGATTCTTTCAGAAAATTGAATATTATGGGGCTGGTTTGAATGTTATAGTGAATTATTTCAACATCTTGTGAAAGTCTTGTTGTATTTCCATTAATATAAGCCACTGGCTGTGTGTGAGTTGTGAACTTCTGAATACCGCAACATGAAAGTGCTTAATACAAAAGATGTTTAGAAGTAGAGGATGTTATATTGACTTGTTACAACTATCATAGTATTCCCAAATTATATTAGTCATATAAATTGTTCAGTTTAATGAACTTAAATGCAAAAAGGAATTAATATACTTAATATTCTAAATAATATATAATTATAATCAAATGATGAAATCCATGGCTGAATAAACCACATATCCATAAGTTGTATATGCCCACATGGAACTTTTTCCTGCATTCCTTCCGTCTGGACTATTGTAACGCTCTCTACATGGAACTCCCCTTGAGGAGCACTCGGAGGCTCCAACTGGCGCAGAGTGCGGCCGCACAGGTGGTGACGGGAGCGATGTGGCGCTCCCATGTAACACCTCTCCTGCACGAGCTGCACTGGCTCCCGGTGGTCTTCCGAGTGCGCTTCAAGGTTTTGATTATCACCTTTAGAGCATTCCATGGCTTAGGACCTGGTTATTTACGGGACCGCCTGCTACCACCAATAGCCTCCCACCGACCAGTACGCTCCCATAGGGAGGGGCTTCTCCGGGTGCCGTCGGCCAAACAATGTCAACTGGCGGCCCCCAGGGGGAGAGCCTTCTCTGTGGGGGTACCTACTATCTGGAACGAGCTCCCCCCGGAGATATGGAGGATCCCGGATCTGCGTACCTTCTGTCGCGCGCTCAAGACTTTCTTATTTCATCAAGCTGGCCTGACCTAAGTCTTTCCCCTTTTTAAATGGAAATTTTAAATTTGGTTTTAAATTATTGGGGTTTTAAATTTGTTCAGCCAAATTATTTAATTCATTTTATTTTATTTTAAATTTTGTATTTATATGTTTTATTCTACTGCTGTTCACCACCCTGAGTCCTTCGGGAGTAGGGCGGTATACAAATTCAATAAAATAAAAAATAAAAAAAATAAAATTTCACAAGAGTAAGCCAGTTAGAAATGTTCATTTAACCATACCTTCTCTTTCCTTCCAAATCAGAAACTATGAGTAATTATTCCAAGCTGGCTATGATAATAATGCAGCTTTAAACTATGATTTAAATTTAGCTTGTGGATCTTATTTTATTTGGAAACTATTAATTGTAGTTACTGATCTGGATATAATGGGAAGGAGTAATTAAATGTGGGCTTGCCGGCTCTTTTTCTTACCCCAAAAGAGGAGTGAAATGGCAAAAAAAATGCTTATATATGATTCAGTGTCACTCACATAAATGTATAGCTTAGCTTATGGGTAGCCAACTGCAGCCTGCTTTTTGCTACATGGTGTTGTCCTCAAACATAAAAGCTGAAAGCTGCTACCATGGTTTTTCATCACAACTTTAAAGCGATGGTATAAGTTTGAAAATGGGTATATCACAAATAATTTTTTTAAAAAAACCTCTCCAAAGTCACATGAAAAAAACAAGCCCTGCCTATACTAGTTAATGTGGTCCTTCCCATTTTATGACCTCAGCTTCCCCTTTCCTTTTAAGTTCATCGCCACAAAAAAAAAATCATCGCTAGTTTGCATTCATTGTGTTAGAACTGAATATGATGAAACCTACTGAGCTGTGAAATTTCATAAATCAGCATTTTGTAGCATTATATATTTGTTGCATATCTGATAACACAGAAATAATTTTAAGCTCTTGGTAGTTTTTTGTATGTGCCTTTCTTTTGAGATTATTTTCAGAAGTCTACCCAGGAACTATCTTTAGAAAGGCCTACTGTTTAAGCATCAAAACTAAACTAAATAAAAATAAGTGATAGCATTGGGTATGGTAGGTATATGCTGACTTGAGTTGACAAAAATAAATAAATAAAGGCAGGATAAATTAAATGAATACATATTTTTTAAGCATTTCATTTTCCTGTGCTTTTAATAGCTAGTCAGTACCTTTCATCTTTGTTTCTTTCTGATTCTTGCTTCTTCATCCTTTTTCATCAAACTTTGATCAGATTTTTTCTCCAGATTGATAAACTTTCAAAGTAATGATTCAGTATTTATTTTGTTATTGTTTTAGTTTATGGTTTTAAGCCACTTGCACATTCTTTTGTATTGGAACATGAAACAGGAATGCTGTAAATAAATTAAGTGTAAACATGTGGTTCCAATGAATTGATTTGATTCAAATGAATTGATTTGATTTGATGGCTGTGATATTGTTTACAGGGACATAATTTTAAAGTGCCTCATTATATCATATGATTAACATAATCTTTTCTAGGCTATAATTCTTGTTATATTGCATAACAAGTATATCAAGGAGGGTTTTTTTTCCCTCTCTCTTTGTCAACAAAACTCCTTTAAGATCTATGGTATGAAAAACTCACACAACCCTCTAATTTCATATGACCTTGAGCCTAATTTCCAAAGCCGCCTGAAAATTCACATCAGTTTCAATAGCTATTTGTCCATTCTTTGGTGTCGTCTGTATGTGAGAAAGCTTGTTGCAAGAGAAAGAACTTTAAAAGTAAAAATAAGGAGTAAAAGAAAGATTTATATACCTCTCTGCCATGTTAGCTCCTCTGTGTTAAAGAAAACAAGTTATGGAAATTATGCAAATCAGAGTTTCTAGAATGTTTTCCAGGCCTCTTATCAGCACTGGCCATAAGAAGCACTTTTGTTTTCTTTTATGTAGCAAACTAAAAAGTTTGTTTATGTGAAAGAGAGAGGGAAGAGAAATTCCACTTTCCCTTGTAGAGCACATCTCTGTGTTTCTGTATATGTGTGCCTTTCGATGCACAGGGTGAGTTCTTATGGACTGCTCTGTGTCAGAAACTAGGAGGAGGAATCAGCAATAATCAGGGATTATCTCAAACAACTATCCCACCAAAATATCTGGGAAGAATTTTATTCTAGATTGTTTTTCTCCTCAATCCTAAACGGAATATGACTGATTTTCAGACTCAGTCTCTCTCTCTCTCTCTCTCTCTCTTTGGTTAGTTTTTTCCAGCCTCACCAAATTTGGTACCATTGAGTTGTTTTTTTTCGAAGAGTTGTCCTGCTGATGGATGACTAGACTGAATTCTGAATTTCCTTTATATAATTTCCTTTCATCTTTCCATTGGGCTTGAAGGAATGACAGTGGCATTTTCAAAGAAGAGGCACTGCTTCTTTCAGTCGCGGCCTCTGTTGGCCTGAAGCCTTGAATAAATTAGCCATGAGGAACTGCACACTTTGCTTGAAAAACGATCGCTTTCGACATGTCTTTAAAATCCATTTAAATGCATTTGCCTATTTTAAAATTAAAAGTATTATCGCGTTCATTCCTGGTGCTTATATAGCAATAATTGCAACATAGGATTTTTTAAAAGCTTTATGTTTAAGGTTGGTTGGGAGTAGCCAGTCTTAGTTTATGGATTAGAATTCTTACTAAAGTAATCAAAATACATTATAGCTAAATAGATGTGTTTTTCTGCACATCTGTGGAGCATATACTTTACCACCAAATCTGACATCATGTTTATGTCAGATTTGGTGATAAAGTGTAAGCCCTACAGATATGCAGAAAAACTGTAGTTGGGGTTTTTTTCCATGGGGCCTTACTCCAACAATGCTCGTCTGTATGTAGGTGTGCATTTGCTATAAAAAAAATTAAACAGGAAGGGAGATGTAAGATTACTAGGAATAGTTGTAACTGCCCAGTTTCTTCTTTGCTGAAATTAGGTATTTCTGACAAAATGATAGGTAAATATTTGAAGATTTCCATTTTAGAGATTATCTCATTCATTGTTCTGTACAAATTATAATCACTTGAATGCTTCGGTATCAGTGGTTTCTGTTTTTGCGGGGGTTTTCAAGATGTAACCCCTGTGGATAACAAGGATTGAGTGTACAGTACAGTGAGACTCAATCCCTCATGCTTTTCCTCCTCCACATACAATGACAAGTGGAATTTTAAAGCTTCTGATTATGGTTTTAACAACTTGCAGATATCTTTAAAACGTCGGGTCAAGATAATCCATATTATTGGAAGCATTGGATGGTTCTCCTATCAAAATACAACTAATATAGTTGGCTGTTGGATATGACTAATAGACTTGGATGCTATACTTTTTCAAAAAAAAAATCAATTACCTTATTTTAGAAAATTACTTCTTTCATTGTTAAGATTGCAGTGCTATACTTGAACATATCAATATCTAAAAAATAGAAGTGCTTATTTAGATTTGCTAAATGAGATATCTGGTTGTTAGAGAGCAAAGCTCTTTGATAAAACACTCTCAAGGAAATGGAAACAAGGGCATAGAATTACAACTATAAATATGGGGAGCCTCTTATCTGTTTAAGTCAGCAAAGTCTTGTATCACATTGATTTTTCTTCTACCACGTTATGGGATCTTTTATACAAAGGATAGTTTTTTCTCTTGGTGGTATATTGTAATGGGTGGCCATTCTTTTTTAGCTTTATGATGACTCCTCTGCAGGTTTGCCAATGGAGTTTTATGTAAATTTTGACCTTTTGAGAGAAATTAATTACTCAAACATGTAGCTCAGTTTTAGTAGCAGAATATCTGTTAAAGTCTTTTTTATCTGCTAACAAATGGTTTCCAATTCCATAGCAATGCGTACATTTTTGTTGACTCCAGCACTTCAAACTTTTTCTGCTTTTAATAAAAAGCTAACAGCCTCTTGCCAAATATCTCTTTCTGACTGAAAAATTACAAAACCTTCAAGCACAGAATTTTGAATGCAACAAGAGTAGCAATTTATCTCTGTTGATGAATGACTCCCTTTCCTTAGACCTATTCAGCAATTTATCTGTATAAAATTAAATCAGTGTCTTTGCTGACTATCATCTGCTGAAAGTTGTAATTAGGAAAATTAGGTAATGATTTTTGTCAGGTCAAACAGGCTCATGGATTTCTGTGATGGTCCTGTGACTTGAAGGCAGCTTGGTATATTTTCTAAAGATTTAAGTCTGGAGCCTTTGTTTTGTTTTGTTCCACTAGTTCAGGGGTGTCAAACTCACAGCGTCATGGCATCGCATGACATAGCCCGACTTTTCTCTCCTTCGCTAAACCAGGGGCGGGCATGGGCAGCGCGTGATGCACCCACCATGTGGGCCACAAGTTTTATACCCCTGCACTAGTTGCTAATTTGCTTAGTAGCTCTGGAATTTCCTTTTACAACTTCTAGTGGAGATTTATTCCATCCTACACTGTAACTCAGTCCCAGTCCTTCGGCCACCCATTGCAATAAATTGCAATATAATTTCACTCACCTGGTGAGCATTATTTACTGGCTAAATGCAATCTATAAAGGACACTACATTTAAACCTCTTTCCACTTGGGTGGCGCTGAAGCTATCATTTGGATGTCAAGCAATCTCTGCATCTAATAGAAACGTTTGTGCCTGTGGTACAAAATTATGCCTGTCAAAGGAAAGCGGAGTTGGAAAATGAGCTTTCAAATTTCATTATTTTGTTACCAGTGGTATATGGTGCCTTCCTCCACATGAGATTTATGCCACTCTCCTAACTCCAGACCAGAAATTTGAGATAATTTATATGGGATGTTTATGATTGAAAAGCCTTAGATATTTTAGGTGGCTGGTGGGTATTGTATGCTTTTCTTATTCAGTATGAAACAAAGCTAATTTGGGTTGGGGAAGGAAAGAAAAAAAACTTTGGAAAGTGACACCTTTTTTTTTTTTTAACTTAAATTGCACAGCATTGCAAAATCAACCTGATTCTTTTCCCCTCATGGCATTTTTCTTGTCATATTTTATAATGGCCAGAGTTATTTTTCAAGTTTCATCCTTCATAGCTCAACATTTCCTTCAGCATTAAACTACAGCAAAGTCAAAATGCAGCAACCTTGCAACATAGGGTGATATCTATAGCAATAAGGAGAGGAGTTTAAAGATTTAATTAAATTGTGAACTAAAGGATGCATACAAAGTGACATTTTTAGTTCATGAAATACTGGTCCAAATTAAAGGGGTGACAGCAATATGCTCCTTGGTGTCCTGTAGTAGGAATTGAACTGCCTTCTCAGTGGAAGCTCAAGGTCAAGGGCTATATTGCAATTTGTTGGAAAGAAAAAAGGAGGGGAAGAAACGAATAGCAGACGTGATAAAGTGTGTGAGTGGAGAATAAATTAGAATTGGACCAATTTTTCTGAATGTTAGTTGCTAGATAGAAAAAAAGAGCAGAATGCTGTTTCTTGGGGCTTATTATTAGCCTCAGTTGGAATGCAAGACTTGGTCTGAAATGGCAATTATTAGTGCCAATGTTGTCTGATAATTAAGGAAGTATTTCTCTGTGCGTAATGTTAACAAAAAGACATTGACTTTACACATAAAAGCTGTGCTTAAAAGCTGGGATCTTAATTCCCAGAATTCTCAACCAGAATGGCCTTTAGCTAGGTCAGTTTTGGGCTCATATAGTCTTTATTTATTCCCAGGTAGTTTATTTAATTTGTATCCTACTTTTCATTCAGAAACCTTAAATGTGGTACTCTCCTCTCCCCCTTCCCCTACAACAGCATATAGGTCTGAGAGAGATTCACTGGGCTTACATATCACCCAGTGTGTACGACTTGCTCATATGACACTAAGAGGCTTACAATATGTAAAATTAAAGTATCTATAAAAATCAATACAAACAATTCATTAAAATGCAAGCTGGTAAATTAATGCAAGCTGATAAATTGTCTTATGTCCTTTAGCTCCCAAACTCAAAGATCCTATGCCCTCCAAGTGGCTCAAAGTCAGAAGGCTGTCCCTTTTCAGCTCAGGAAATGTTAACTTTGTGCGTCTAGCCATTTTCTGCAGCTATATGAACAAGGGGCTTAATAAACGTTGGACAAATAAAACCTGAGTCACTTTTATGCTTTAAGAGTGTGATGGAGAGTTCAGATCTATTTGGAAGACAGAATCTGAGCCCAATGATGGTTGAGCTGGGCTACCTTTGCACTAGAAAGGATTGCTGGGGGACATGGCTTGAACTAACATGTCTTTAAAGGATTCGGACCATCTTGGTTTAAGGACCCAGCCAGAACCTGAACTAGCTTTCAAAAATATTTATTGGGCTTCTCTCTACTCAGCCACAATATGAAGTTGCAATGTGCTTTAATTCATGGAAAGATCTGATGAACAATAAATCACAAGTATATGACACTTTAGGAGAAATAATTTAAAATCTTGAGCAGATAGTGCTTCTGCACTTTTTTCATGATTAAAGGGAAATTAAAACCATTCCATTTATATTTTCATATATCAATAAGATTATCGACTGTGAAGTCCAGAGGCTTCACAGTAAGAAAGTAAGAAGCAAGGAGTTAGTTAATGCTTTCATCTAACTATCTATGAATTTAATATCAATTTTGAAAGGTCAGCACATAAACAACAACCAAATATATATCCTAGGGAAAAATAATAACTGATATTCAGGACTGACATCAGAAACTTAGTAGCCAGCTTGGTCATGAGATGCCTCTTTCATTAAAAGATACAATTGTCTATAAAAATGCTAATGTTAAAGAGGAGGCAACTACTATATTTCTTTCTGATGCCACTAAATATGATCCTGGATTCTTTTTAACCCTAGTCTTTATTATATCTCAATAAGATTGAAAGGCAAAACATTCTGATTAAAAATTGAAGTTAGCAAAAGTTTAATTTTAATATGCCTTTTTCCTGATTTATATTAGTATTCATTATTCCTTCAATAGTTCCCGATTCACCATTTATTATTTCCTAACTAGTTGTGGAAATTTTGTTTCAATTGTTTTATTTGATTAATAATTTTATTCTGTTGTGATTCATTAAGCATTTCATTATAATGTGATTCATTCATTTAAATAATTTTATATTATGTTCTCACTGTTTTTCTCTGACATATCACCAGTTTGCATGTTATTCCAATAAATTTAAATTGGTTATCCCTTTTGGGGGCAGTGGTCTTAAATCAGTAGTCATTTTTAATCAGCCCATTAGAGTGATCCAGAATAAATGGCTGAAATAACTCAAAAGTTTCTATAAAAGTGTGTGAAAATGTGGAAATGGGTATGCCAATACTTTTGAGATCAAACTTTATATCCAGCCCAGCCCATTGAACTTGGCAGAAATACTCAGCTCAAGATGATGTTGAATTGCAGAAAAAACAATTACTACCAACCTGCCTTCCATTGAGGACCTATATACTGCATGAGTCAAAAAGAGGGCTGTGAAAATATTTACAGACCCCTCACATCCTGGACATAAACTGTTTCAACTCCTACCCTCAAAACGACACTATAGAGCACTGCACACCAGAACAACTAGACACAAGAACAGTTTTTTCTCGAACGCCATCACTCTGCTAAACAAATAATTCCCTCAATACTGTCAAATTAGTTACTAAGTCTGTATTACTATTACTATTAGTTTTCTCATCATTCCTATCACCCATCTCCTCCCACTTATGACTGTATGACTGTAACCTTATTGCTGGTATCCTTAAGATTTATATTGATTGTTTTCTAATAGATTTGATTGCTTATTTGTTCCCTATGACTATCTTTAAGTGTTGTACCTTATGATTCTTGACGAATGTACCTTTTCTTTTATGTACACCGAGAGCATATGCACTGACAAATTCCTTGTGTGTCTAATCACACTTGGCCAATAAAGAATTCTATTCTATTCTATTCTATTCTATTCTATTCTATTCTATTCTATTCATTTATAATGCCTCATTAATTGGAGGGGAAAGGGTTAATTTCCATTATTCTGCAAATTGTTTCACATCCTAAGATATTTTTCTCAGACAAGAATAAAATAAACATAAAACAAAGCATAGACCTGTATACCTAAGGCTCAGTAGTTCAAAATTATGATATATATTGTAATACATCTTTGTGTCTGTTGATACCTTTCTAGAACAAACTACTACATCAGAAATCACTGTTTTAATAATTCTATCTAGCACTTTAGCTAATGTATATTTAGCTAATGTATACTTTTTTAATCACAGATTGTATGAATGATTTTAAAATTATGGTTTATGTTATAGGTTTGCCGATTTTATCAGAGGAATGCTGAAACTTATCCTACTTCTGTTACTGTCAGGAGCAACTTTGTCATCCTTTTGGTATACTTTGACATGTTTAAAAACTGTCATTCATCTTCCTTTAACTACAGGTATGTTAATCCCAGTTTCCAGATTTCACAAATATTTGTTTCAGTAATGGCTTTCCACCATGTAGAATGCTAGGAAAATGTGGCGATGTAGTTCACTATAAAACTTTAAAATATAAATTAAACTCAGACTCATAATTCTATTCCAAGCGGAAATTGGGAAATTACTTTGTTTCCTGTCTCAAACCGCCAATATATTTCAAGATGTATTATAAAACTCTTACATTTATTAAGCCAATTGCAGAATAACAAAGATGATTGCTATCAGAAATGAACTTAAGCTGTACATGTAAAATCTAATTGTGGGAAGTCCTTGAATTTCTTACACTAAATAGGTTGTGTAGCCTGTAATTTTACTTAGTAGGTCTAAAGCAAGAGGGGGGAAAATTTTATGTTCATTAAACAAGTGTCTTTGACAAGGCTTTTAAGACCTGTTAGTTAATTGCAAACATTGGTTAAAGAAAATGATTAATGATAATCCTTAAACCCAGCTGACTTGGAACTCGGTAGATAATTGTGTACTAGGTTGTGTTTTGTGAATGTATAATATATGATGCTTATGTAGAAACATAAGTATGTGCAGAAATAACAAGCTGTTATGAGTTATTTGTAGTATGTAAATGAATAAACCTTAACAATTTTTCTTTGCTCGTTCAATTATAACTTTATATTTAACACAAGCCTTATATCTAGAGTAGAGCTCTTCTATATATTTTATACAAATCACATATGCTTGGTTGATTTAAAGTTCAATTTATCAACATTTCTGAATTTTCTTTGCTTCTTACCAAGCCTTCCTTCCTGCTCCTCTTCCAATTAGATGTGTTGATTGTACAACTTGCTTAAATTTGATGAATGGGCCTCTTTTCTCTATGACTATTTGTTCAGGTAGTTCTCGCTGAAGGACAGTAATTGGGACTGGCAACTCTGTTGCTAAGCATCACAGTCATAAAGCACAATGTTACATGATTGCAACCATCATACAAGAGCAGTTGTAGCAGTTTTGGTGGCCATCATTAAGTGAATCCTGCACAATTGTTAAGGGCAACGTTAATACCATTTACAACTTCCTGCTGGCTTTCCCATTAACTTTGCTAATTAGAAATTATCCGTGAAGGTTACTAATGGCGATCACATGACTACAAGTTTCTGCGACTGGTATAATTATGGGCTAAGTTCCAGCTACAACTACAAAGAACAATTGTAAGTCCCCTTGATAACTTCAATCGGTCACTGAATGGGTGGCTATTTAACAAGAAACTATTTCTGTTCTTCTTGAGTGTTTTGCTGCACTTCAAACTTAATTTCCAAAAGATGCTTTGGAATTTGTGAGGGTGTGTATATTGTCTCTTTAGACTGCAAAATGTATTGTTTTTTTCCTAGACTGTGATAGCTATGAGGGATAACTCCATAGTCTTAAGAGGAAAGGTTATTTTCCCTATAGACAATAAATTTCTGGGTCTCTAACTGATACAAGAGTTTATGTGCTTGTAGAAAACTTCAATTCTAGGTCCTTTTAGTTCAATCATGACTAAACTCCCATAGTTCCAGCAAAGATTCTTCTTATTTCTTGTACATTTCATGTACATTCATTGAATTGTTGACCATAAACCTGAAGGATAGCAATAGCAATAGCACCAGAGGTGGTATTCAGCAGGTTCTGACCAGTTCTATAGCGGAAATTTTGAATAGTTCTGAGAACCGGTAAATACCACCTCTGAGTGGCCCCGACCCCATGTATTGTCTGCCTCCCAAGTCCCAGCTGATCGGGAGGAAATGGGAATTTTGCAGTAACCTTCCTCTGGACTGGGGAGGGAATGGAGATTTTACAGTATCCTTCCCCTGCCACGCTCATCAAGTCACGCCCACCAATCCATGCCACACCCACAGAACAGGTAGTAAAAAAATTTGAATCTCACAACTGAGTAGCACTTATATACCACTCCATAATGCTTTACCCCCTCTCTAAGCAGTTTACAGAGTCAGCAAATTGCCCCCAACAATCTGGGTCCTCATTTTACCAACTTCGGAAGGCTGAAAGTCTGAATCAACCTTAAGCCGGTCAGAATTGAACCCCTGGCAGCGAGCAGAGTTTTGCCTGCAATATTGCATTCTAACCATTGTACAAGAAACCTTCCAAATTTGATATAGCAAGTAGCACTTGTTTCTTAACTGTTCTAGCTCTATTTTGATATATTGGAAGGATTCATTAGAATTCAGTTGCATTCATCTTTTGAAAATCAGTGAAATTCACCTTCTTAATTTTTTACTTAATGCTGTTCTTATCTTTCGAGGAAATAGTTTTTTTAAAAAATATATATATAGATACATGCTCATCATGATTTCTAGTATGTTGCAAATCATATAGGGTGAAATACCAGTCAAAAGAAATTAAAGGGAGGAAATCAGAGAAAAGAAAAGGAAATTAACTAAATCTTGTTTAAATCTGCACCACTTGCTACATTATCTCTCCATACCATTCTTTCCTTGCAAATATATAGTACCACTTGTTTTTCAGGCTTCTCTTTCTCTCTCTCTCCTCCCCCTCCCCTCTTCTTATAATTATGTCTTTCTTGGTCTTTCCCTTCCATTTAGCCATCCATTCTTGCTTCACATATTTGCTTTGCAATTGTAGCCTCATTGATCAAACTATTTCAGTATATTTCTTTCACATTGGCCACTCATTTTTGTTTGCAGTCCACATTCATTTATCACCCATAGACTCAATCTCCACTTCTCTCATCACATACTTCTTAAACAAACCACTTACCCTTCATTCAGCTTCCTTTTATGTTTCTCCTGGAATACTTAACATTCACTTCTATATTATTAAGGCAGCAGAAGTACATTCTTATACTAAGCAATATTTGCTTTTTGACAAACTTTTATTCCTCACAATAGATTGCAGGCTATATACATTCTTACCAGTATTTGACCTCTTAAATTTTCTTCATTCATGTTCACATCTTTAGTTAACATTCTACCCAGGTACACAAATTTATATGTTCTGGGTTTTTTTTTACTAGTTATATATAGCTCCTAATCATTGTTTCTCTGGTCAAATATAGCCTCCTTGAACTTCTGTATTTTATTTGGGATTCTTCTCTGTTCCAAGGTAGTAGGCAAGGAAGTTTCCTTTAGTCAGCTTCCTGGGCATTGGGAGATCAACTGACAGTTTGGGGTGCAGTATCAAAGATTTGCTCATGATACCCAATTATACCTCACTACTCATAGATGTAAGGGAGATGCTGTCCATGATCTATCCCAGGCTCTGGTGGTTCTAAAGATCGGAATGAGACAGAACAGGCTGAAGTTTATTTTAAACAAGATGGAATTGCTGTTTATACATCAGAGTTCTTCATTGGCAACAGTGTTATCTCTGGACAGGCAAGCACTAGATGTGAAAGCAGATTTGTGACTGGGGGTTTGGGAGGAAGGGCTTTGACTCAAGCCTCCTGCTTGAACAGCAGGAAGAAGCCATGGCTGGAGGAGCCTTTATCCAAATTCAGCTGGTATTCCAATTGCAGCCTTACTTGATGCAGGAGGACCTGGCTACAGAACTCATGTCCTTGTTATTGTGCAAATAGACTACTACCATAATGTGCTTTACACAGGGCTACCTTTGAAGATTATTTGCAAATTATATCTGGTCCAGAACACAGTATTCTGTGGATCAACTGATACCCAAAGCTGGGTGCTTCTAACATCCATGCTGTAGACTCTGCATTAGATGCTGACTCAGTTCTGGTTACAATTTAAAGTGTTGCTTTTAGTCTACAAAACCTTTTTGTTGTTTGGTACCTGCAATTTACTAGATCCCAGAGGGGGAAACGCCTCATGATCTCACACTTTCAGGAGGAGGCCAAAGTGAGTAGGTACTGAAGTTCTATGGCTGCTTTAGTGTTCCAAAATGGACTTCTTATGGCTGGCCTTCTTCGTGGCTTTCTGTTAAGCTTTTCCAGAGAAATGTCTATGGAGATTCTCAGTCGTCCAGTCATGGTTGTCCCAAAGGTGCTTTTTTCAAAAGACAACTTGAAGACTTCTCATCCCAAAAAGCTTCTTCAGTTCTGTTCAGTTCAGTTCAGTTCAGAACTGAAGAAGCTTCTTGGATGAGAAACGAAATGTCTTCAAGGAAAAACAAAGTTCCAGTTGCCTTTTGAAAAAAGCACATTTTTGGGTTTTCCAGAGAAAAGTGTTCCAATGATGCTTAGCCTATTTTTCCTTTTCCGCTTTTCTATTTTTGTTATTTTTAACAAACGGGTCATTAATTTGGTTGCCAATTTCTTGAAGCAGTTTATTTTCATTGCTTTAATTATATCGTGGGTATTTTAATTTTTTGGATATATGTGATATGCCCAAGGAGCTTCCCAGAGTTGGTTATAAGATGGGGCTGCAATGATGATGATGATAATGATGATGTTATCCATTCAGTTGTATCTGACTCTTGATGATTCCATGGGCCAGGTCTCTCCACATCTTCTGATCTTGCATTGATTTTTCTATGATCTGGCTGGTGTCAGTTTCGATGGTGTCCACCCACCATATGGGATGCTATAGATTTTATTAATAAAATAAAATAAATATCAGCTGCTGAGAGCTGCAAGGTTGAGATGGGATGTAAATGAAATAAATAAATGTTCAGATCCATATTGTTTCAGAATGCAGTTGAACATTCGTTGTAAATGATTTGTGTCTTAGGCATCAATTTAACAAAAATTGCAAAAAAATATATTATTCATGTCCTAAGCGAAAAGTCTCTACCATTACCACAAGCATTCCTTGTGTAGTTAACAGCTAAGGGGACAAAACAGATCTTTGCTTTGCCTCCTTGCCATTGTTGAACCATTTGCTAAGCATACCATTGATTCTCATGCTTTATTTCTTATACACCACACTTATTACACTGAATAACCCAACTTTCAACTCCATATTGGTGCAAAGGTTTTGTACATCAAGCATCCAATTTATTCTGCATCTGCTCTAAATTAGCAAACATGCTGTAA